CCTCTACAAAAATTTGAACTTTTAATTAAAAATTTCACATACACATTTTAATTGAAAATTCTAATTTTTGTAGAGGACATTTTTTTCTCACCAAAACGTAAATCTTCAACCTGTAGCAGTATACCTGTCAAGTTTGGTCCAGATTATTTTTTTTTTAATTAGAAATTCGTCAGAACACTATGTACAGAGTTTGATGTCGCTTGTTTTTATATCTGCTTTTTCCTTAATCAATCATCACATATAATCCTCAAAATATCTGAAGCCATCGGGAATTGTACGTTTTTCAGACATCAAAGTTATCAATTTATATTTTGCGGTAAAGCAAAATTCCTGGAAACCTGAACAAAGTTATAAAATGGATTAAATAAGGGGTTATCAAAAGAAGTTGACTGGTACGATCTATAAGATTTTAATGCTATGTAGGCTGTGCTTACAAATATATGGATCTCCGTAAAACAACGAAAGTTCTTGTAAGCAAAAGGTATGAAGTTACGATGAATAAACTTTTCTGTTTAAAATATATTGATTCGTACATATTTAATTGAGCATGATCTTTCAAAAAATGAGAGTGATCCTCTTGGATATGGAAAAATGCGTTTTAAAGGAAGAATTGACCATGTTTGTCCTCTTTGAGTGTATGTATGCTATTTCAAATACGGATTTTACACGAGCAGATAAAATGATAAAGTAAAAATTAATGATAAATAAAATATTTAAAAAAATGTTGTCATTATATTAAGATTCACTTATACCTTTCATTGGCGTTGGAAGCAAATTGAAAGTGAGGGGGGGGGGGGTTTAAGTGAAAGAGAAAAAAAATTCAAGCCTACTAAAAAAAGAAGAAAATCTCTCCATTGCCCATATTCTCAAGAAACAGTTTGATTTGGAAACTTCAACATGAGAAAAATGTATTTGAACCATTTTTCTTTACATAAGATTTATGATCCTCTATACGAAAAGGTACGATTCTTTAAAACTGACATTTAGTTATGTTATATAATTTATGTGTTACATCCTAGCTCTAACAGTATTGCAATCTATATACCTTTTTCAATTACTGTATTTGCAGGTCCGTAGGAAACGCATCAACTATCAAACATTCCTTTTTAGGGGCACAAACTAAGTTTTATATATTATTATATCGGCAAAATTATTCGGGGCACCCCCTCCCGGTTCGTATGGCCACGATCAGTCAATATAGACAATATTCAGTGAAAGTAATGCACATTCAAATTACAGGAGTGAAAAAAACATAAATCATTCTGTCTTATATATCCTTTTAAAAAATCTTGGTGGATAATCGCACTGGGTATATTATCCAGGTAGCGACTTTTCCTACATTCAAAAGAAGACTTATTCATGACCATCTTTCGAACCATATTGACAAGTTGGGATACAGACCCCTGCCTCAAAAATTATATAAAATAAAAGATAAATAAAAGAATAAAATTGCACCCTACGTCTATCTTGCATCCAATGATATTTAACCGACTTCTCTATAACAGGTGCACAATGAGTTGCTAATATCAATTTCCGATTGCGGTTTTACTTTTTTTCACAATGCACTCCTTTTTATTCTACTGAAGGAAAATAAACAAACTCTGGGGACTGATTATCATATTACGACAATGGCTGTAAATTCACGGGAGCAATATTTCGGCTGACAAGAAATACATTTGTTGCTGGGTTAAATGGATTTCTAAAAACAGCGAGGCTTACCATTGGATATCAAAGCGAAATATTTCAACAGATGTTTTAATGTCAAGTGTTCATATTGTCAGCTTTATATCACAATTATAGACTTTCCACAGACATGTAGCAACCGAGAGGGGGGGGGGGCAGGGGGGCCTGCCCCCCCCCCCCCCACTTTTTTCCCCAATTTTAATAAACTATAGGAAATGTTAAATGTTCAATGTAAGGCTGGTTGCCCCCCCCCCCAACTTTTTGTGATATAAGGAAAATTTAGTATAAAAATTGGTACTGAAAGAAGTTGGCCTTGAAAAATGGTTGGCCTCTAACCCCCCCCCCCCCCCCCCCCCAACCCAACCCAACCCACGAAATAGGATGTTTTGACTTTGGACAACTACCCCCCTTTTTTTAATTTTGCTTATCAGGTACTAAGTAAGTGAAAAAAAAATCTCTGGCTGACCCCCCCCCCCCCCCACGACCCTTCCCACTTTCAAAATCGATGCCACGTGGCTGTTCCATTCGAATAAGTGAAAGAGCCTCAGAGGCAACATCGCTCACCTGAGCACTGTGGCTACTAGGAAATGAGCAATTTTGTTAAACTATTCTTTAGAAGAATATTTTTTAAAGGTTTTACTTTTATATTTCTATGTAAAACTTGAAATCTGCACATTGTTCCAAGAAATTTTTATGAGTCCACGTGAAAAAATTCCAAACTCCCAATAATCCTTTGCGGTTCATAGCAACATGGTGGCTAAAACATAGCAACAACTTACTTTAAAAAAATTACAAACAACGGTTTAATGCAATCTCCATGCCATAAAACTATCGTTTGCGTCCAAAGTCAACAGGACTTTTAATCTGACGTCATACTTTCGTCACTTAAACTGTTCGGGTATTTCCGATTTTGTCGGAAACTTCCGAGAAGTTCGGTATCTCGATCCCAATGCTTGGAGTGTGATTTCTTTTTATTGTTGTGTTTTTTTCTTTTTTTTCTTTCTTTTTCTTGAATGATAGGCGTACATGGGTAGGTATATGATACTGCGCTCGCCCCAACGGTCACATGATACACATGTTGTGATAACTTCGATAAATACAGGCACGTAGCATCGTTTTTGAAAGTGGGGGGGCCTGAGAAAAATTTTTTTTACTTACCTGAAAAAGTTGACAAGCAAAAAAAAAAAAAACAAAAAACAAAAAAAAAAGAAAACCACAAAAAAAAAAAAACCAAAATTAAAAGTTGCCCAAACTCGAAAATCCTATTTCGTGGGGGTGGGGGGATGGGTGGGTGGGGGGGGGGGTAGTGGCCAGGATATCAAAGCCAACTAACTTTCACTTCAAATTTTTACCTTACAATCCTTGCTATCACTATGCTATGGTTACAAAGTGGGGGGCCAACCATCCCATCAATGAACATTTACTATAGTAATGGTTATGTTACAGGCCCCCCTGGCCCCCCATGTTGTGATAAATACATTTATTATTTTATGGAAAGAAATCTTGGAAAAGTCGTGTAAAAAAAGTGGCCAAATTCTTGTTGTTTATAAATTCATTAATTTCATTTCAATTTATGCTATATACAATCTAATTAAAATAAGAAAATTAATTCTCTCCTGTTAAATCGCTACAGAACAGCTAATTTTATTCGAATTTTAATTTATGAGACGAAATTTTAATCGCGCTTAGATTACCGGATTTTTAGTTTTTATCCGCAATCAATTCGGCATTTAAATGTACTTCCGGATCGAAGAGCACAATCTGCCGCGAAAACCTCTAACGAGTTGGAGTTGCATGGCTTGCTCTGTGGCACTGAAGGCTGATAAAATGCGACATGGAATTACAGAAGCAGCGATATGACTAACAAAATCTTTTGAATCACAACAAGTTTTATTTTAAAAGCCGAATCATGAAATTTGAAAACAGAAGAAGAGGACAAGTTTGAAAAAACGCGGGGTATGATGCTTTGAACATCATTAAGTCGTATCAAATAATACCCTTATTGGTGCATAGTCTAGTTTGAGTCCGTAAACGGAAACACGAGAGTTGGTCTTGTTTCCCAGTGGCAATAACAATCTCTTGTTTTAGCAAGACATGGCTGCAGAACTGCAGCTCTGTGCTTGAGAAAATTCGGACAGATAAGGCAGAGAGCTACAGATCCAAGTTTTGGAAAAACCTTCTATTTACGCCGCCACTTTTTTGTCACTCCCTTACGCTTCAAGTGGTTTAGCCCCAGTTTTACCTATTAAAGTTTAATCTGTTATTAACGGGTTAGACTCGAGGAATGTTTTAAAGTTTTGTGTGAATTATTGGTGTGTAAATCACACAGACTTGTTGTGTAGGTATATTTCATGATTTAGCGCTTTGGCGCTTCATAGAAATATGCCTATGTGCAAGTCTTGTGTGATATACACACCAATAATTCACACAAAACTTTTAAGCATTCCTTATGATGGTGCACAACATTGTATTTTGTATATAATTTGTAAAGCTATATGTTATAAGGTATTTAACACATATATGAGTATCAAGGTATATTTTATATAAGTTTTCAAAAAAAAATTTTTAAAACTTTATGAAAGTCTTGCGTTTTTTGTCAGTGTGTCTACTCGTTATAAAAAAAAGCGCTTTATAAAAGCATAAAATAATTATATTATCATTACGACACGTTTTTGTACTGATTTGTTTGTGTTTTGTGTGAATTTACATGGTGTGTGAATTTACTGACACAACAGAACTTGACTTTCAGTAATTATTTTTAAATAATTTTTTTGAATTTTCGCTTCACATAAATGTACCTTGATCAAGTATTTTGTGTGATAAAGCTATATAGCTTTATCACACTAATAACTTTTATTGTGCATTCCTTATATTTACATTTTACATGTCGAAAAGCACAAAAATATACTCAAATTTTGAATTTCTCTCTGCCCTATATTGTCACATTTTTACTAGCATCTATTTAGCCTCATTGTGATGTCGCATTAGCACACGTTTCTCCATGTATATTTCTACATGTGAGTATACACAAAAATAGTATTCAAATCAATTTCACAGTTGACTTCCTAGAAAACACACAGCTAATGTAAATATTTAGTCATTTTATGCAAGCTTTTGACTAAGTACATCCGTTTTAGACATGAAGCTGTTCAAAGAACATTTATAATTTACGTACAGAACAAAGGGTCTACAAAAGATTATAGTTTTCCAATAGGGCTGTCAAGGGTACCTAAAATGACCTGGAACCGCGGAACAATGCGGGTTCCATCCAGTTTTTCTGGAATCTTGTTCGTTTCCAATTTGTACAATAGAGTACTAGGTTTTACAATAAAAATGGCATCTAAAACCAAAGGTTCATTAGTATATTACCATTAAAGATGGTAATAATTTGATTTGAATCATTTTGTTCAATTATATTTCTAGATAGGAAACTTACATAAACCAGTCATTATGTTTCTTAGATAAAATAGATTTAAAAAAAAAATTATAAAGTCTCTGTTGAATATAATTCAAATCATGAGATTTTACTCTATTATTAACCTGAACCGAGAAACCCGAAACCAAACCTAAAAAATTAAGAACCGACCCGACCCGAAAAATTATGGAACCGTGACAGCCCTATTTTCCAATTATCTTTTTTCCGTATTATATACAGTGTACAACTTGGCATATGGTTTTGATTATATAGAATCACTGACCATTCATGATATCTCAGTTTGTAGAGTGCTCATTCCGTGATTGGAAAGTCTTAAGTTTTGATCTCGAGTCCTCGACCCCGTCTAACCTGAGTTGAGAAAAAATGGGTAGCAACTGTTCCTTCGTTTGGCACTTTAAAGTAAAAGTTACGGGTCCTTAGGGTGAGAACATAAAAACCGAAGCCCTATGTCACCATGACATGGTCATGGTAAAAATCTCTCTGCTCAATGGCCCTGAGTGTCAAGTAAGGGTCAAAATTTAAAGCCCTTCACCGGTATATGGTGATATCACTATATGAGTGAAAAATTCTCAAATGGGACGTAAAACCACATACAATCAATATAGAATCACAGTAAAAAAATTAAGGGGAAAAATATTTACACCTTTGTCCACCAAAATATGGGTCTAGATTACACCTCTGGTACAAATAAGGTAGGCAGGTCTGAACCGGAAGCATTATCATCGAGTCTTTGACAACTTGATGGATTAGGAAAAATAATGTCTGTCAAATTGCTAGGTTAAAATGTTAAAATTTTATGCAACTATTTAATGAAGTATTTGAATGAATGATTAGAAATACACTTTTAAATTCATATATAAATAGCTACAGTGGAATCCTGTTATTTCAGTGACGGTTTTATAAGATAGAACTCTTGTTATGTCATAAATTCAAAGCACAAAACCATTTTTTAACAAATCTATACAAAATAGTCTAAGAACCGTTTATTACGTCCTCCGAAAGTGATTGAACTCAGTATTAAAATGTAAAAAATTTGACCCTAAAAATTCCTTCCATGTTTATTCAGCAGTGTTTAAGGCCAAATATATATCAATCTCCCGCCATGCATCACATGTTGCCGCCATGCTTCCCGCTATGCATGAATTATTAATTGTGTAGGTACCATGTGAATGATATCAGTTACAAATATTTCAATAAAACAATTCAAATCACTAGAATCCTCGCGTGTACTGAGCACCTGTTGTGAACTTGATGCGAATCACGGCACGGGTATGATGCAATATCTAGACCTAGCTGTCAATGTTTGTTTATTTAAATTTATTGGTATGTTACTAAGTATCATGCTTTTGATTGGTTAAAAACTAATTTATAACCATAAAAAGTAATTAATTGCTGTCAGATAGTATACATGGTAAAAGCAATACACTTGTTAATGCACATGTGGGTTTTTCCAACATTCACAGATCGTTCTATAAATAGCATTGATGCTCTGACATAAAAACTGTTTCATTAGTTAAACTCATAATATTTAAGACATCTTTTGCATTAAAGTGCTGAAAATAAACATGTCTAATTAACATTATCCATGTTTATTTACTTTATAAACTATGTGGAGGTACTTAGTTCAAACACATGCTTTTAATACACAGTGACCTCCTATATTCAAAAGCGGGAAAAATCAAACATCAAATGAAAGCAAATAAGTTGTCACAAAATTTACATGTAAGCATTAGTTCTACATATTAATGACCACCCTTTTAATTTCAAGTAGACTGCAAAAGACTAAAGTATGGACATAAGTAATTAATAATAAAAAGGTGGGTGTCACTATAGGGGTCTATTTGTAGAAAGCAAAACTAACACAATACACAAAACGGTAAAAAGACAATGCTTTATAGAAAATTTTGATAGAGCAAATTTTTTTTTTTTGAATTATCCTAGTTCTGTTTTTTTTTTTTTTTTTTTTTTTTAAATCCAATTTTTGAATATTTTTGAGTAAAATTGACAAGTTGTTCTAAATGTATTTAATGAAATAATGATTGAATTTGTATTTTTCATTTAAATACATATTAACATTTAAATACATGTACAATTAACTTAACCGAGACACGCTGCGCGCCGTCAATTCAGCAAAATTCCCCCCATGCATCAAAAATTTTCTGGGGAAAACACTGTATTCAGTACATGTAATTGCTTTTAAGTTGAACATCAGATTTAATCTTCATTTCAGAGACCTAAAAAAGGAGTCCAAAATGTATCCATTTTTATGCTTTTGCGAATTTTGCAGAAATGGCAGACAGGTTACCTGGTGTGGAGAGCTCGGCCATTAGTATACTGAAGAGGGCAGTAGAATTGGACTCCAGTAAGCGCTATGATGAGGCGGTGACATGTTATCAGGAGGGACTACAGTTACTGCTGGAGGTTCTTAAAGGTGGGGGACTGGTTCTGTGTCTGATGGTCAATCGAGGATCTGTTCTTCCTTAGTTAGCTACTGATTTAGTGTAGAATGGTGATGTTAACATGTTGTGAGTTCTTTATTTTATAAATCTAGGGAGTGGAAACTTCGTAGGTCTACTGATAGTTATTTCCATTATGTTTCATTAATAACATAGGTTCGTCCACCACTATCTTTTTCTTGTCACCACTTGCAGAAAAAATTATTTAGGCATTAAACATAAGGGGGGAATTGGGACATTTTTATTTAAAAGGGTATATTAGTTAATTTTACAGATTAGTTATGAAGGTCATTTTGAAAAAAAATGGTACATTTTTAGGAGAAACAGATGTGACAAAGAAGGAAAGATTCCGACAGAAGATAAAAGAGTACATGGATAGGGCGGAGGAACTAAAGAAGTTTGTCAAAGAGGAGAAAACAGGTGCTCTTTGACATTTTACATAGCATGTATAAAAGTATGTAACTGAATTGAAACAGATGTATGTCAGCTCAGTTTTTCTTAAATTGCTATTGATACATGTAGTGTATAGTAGGCCTATGTACAATCTACGAAATTCCCACCCGCCCGCACGCCCGAGATGTACTAAATCGGGAGCGGGCGTATGCACTTTATACTGCATCAGCCCGCTTGGATGCACGAATTTTACCCCATTCCCTCGATTTTTGCAGATAATTGTTTTGAAAAAGCAAAGACCAAATATTTCAACGTACATACAAGGCATTATTCCCTGGGACAACAAGAAATAGTCAATAAATCTGTAGGTATATAAAGACACCACCATCGTCTTTTAACCTGAATTTCCTGTTTTCAAGCATGAAACGATATTTTCAACTTTCCCCGATAAATTGTGCATTTTTTTCAACTTAAAAGATCAGATAAAAATCAAACACATTCAATGTGTTTATTTATAAGAATTAATAAGTATTGATATTTGTATATAGTGATCATGCCGTTTATAAAGACAAAGCCAGTGTACTAAATTATTCAACACAAGCTTACACTTGCTTACAATCTAAGTGGTATCATGCTGTGCTTTTATTCAATGGTTGTTTTAACTGATTTTTGTTTTCATTAAATCAAAAATAAACTTAGGTTATATTTAATCTTACCTTAATATATTTTTACCCTTTTAAAATTCAAATTATAAATTAATTTTAATGAGTGTTAAAAATTGCTCTTAAGTACTGATAAATTAAAAATTGTATTTTTCTTTTCAATTAAAATCAAACAATTACTCATTGGTTCTAAAATATACATGTCAATATACCTATAACGGTGATATTATTACATATTATATATCATGACCTGTTACATGTATCTATGATATCTTATAATCAATGTATTTCAAATGTAAAAAATAGACTGAAGGAAAAAATGACAATATAGGGCATGTATTTCAGATTAGCAATTTATAGTGAATTTTTCATTTTTCCTATAACATGTATAACTTTATAATGAAGTAAACCCTGACTGAATAAAATTTTAATCTTATTAATTACTGTGTATGAAATTCAAGTGGATGTGAAAAAATGTACAAATGTGAGTGTGCGTATCCTTATCATTGAATTTTATTATGCAGGCTTGCTTATTTTCAGCAGGTCTGACAGACTTTTTGAGTAGTCAGCCCTGCTGGTCCACCTGAATTTTTTCTGAGTTTCGTACACTACATGCTATGAAAAACTCTATTTTATGTTATCTAACAAAAATCTGGAAACAATTCAAAAAAAAAAATAAAAATTGCCGACCTACCTACCCAGACTAAAAATTATAGGTTGGCAACTGCAAACAAAGAATTTTTTAAGCTTGGCCTGGGTAAGGAGTTGTTGGTGTAAACATGAATTAGCGCTACATGTGTTCATGCCATATATTCTATTTACAAATGAATTCTTAATGGTATTCATGATTTAGCGCATCCTCGTTTGCACCAAAGCCTGTAAAATATGAAGCATGCTATTTTAAGTACACATACAGTATATAGATTGAAAAACATGGTCATTGCAATAAATCAATTTTCATATAAGTATGATTTTTTAGCTGGCAAACAGCATGAGCAGATTCAGATAGAGAGCAATAATACAGGATATAGCTATGAGAGGCTGTTCTCACGATTCCTGAACCAATTTGTCACAGAAGTAGAGGTGGAGGATCCGTACATTCGTTCTAACCATCAGGTGAGGATCAAGTGGTGGTGTGTTATTAAGATTTGTGGATTTCATCATCCTTTGATTTTAAGATTTACTCTTATGTAATCAAATTTAGGATTCTGAATTTTGAGTTCTTTCTATTATTGTATAAAAGTTTAAGTGTATAAATTCAAAATTAAGCATTGTGTTTATGGATTTCATGAAAATAGAAATCATTCAAGTGTATTTCGAAAACAGTTTAATATTTATTCAATATTTTTTTTTATAGATATACAATTTTCTAAGATTCTGTGAATTAGTTGTGAAATCTAAAGCACCAGTCAAAGAAATCCGTCTTCTAACAGGCAGTGATGAGGTAGGTCTAAAATGAAGTCAAATTTAGTGCTTTTTATTGTGATTAGGAATTCAGAGCATAAGCTTATTCAATATCAAACAGATTGAAAATAACTGAGCAAATTGACATACCACAAGTTGGATACTTGAAGATATGAAGCAGAGTTCTTGAAATCTTTCGGTCCTGTCGGCAAAACCGATGAAAACAACCAAGGACTGACTACTTTGCGTTCTCTGTCAGTCCAAATGACCGGCAAATGTTGACAGAGGAACTTCCACAATCAGACCAAATTTCGTACGAATTCCCTATATAACCAATTGATCGTAATCCTTCAAACGCTTTTCTATATCTTAATTATACCCCCCGCAAACGAAGTTTGGGGGGGTATATAGGAATCACCTTGTCCGTCTGTCCGTCCGTCTGTCTGTCTGTCCGTCTGTCCGTCCGTCCGTCCGTCTGTCCGTCTGTCTGTGCATTCGTGTCCGGTCCATATCTTTCTTACAGAGGGACATTAGAATCTACTACTCCACACTAAGATTGCTCATGACCTAAGGGTGTGTCATGACCTTGACCCAAGGTCATTCGGGGAAGTTCAAGGTCACTAGAAGAAAAAATTCATAATTCGTGTCCGGTCCATATCTTTCTTATGGATAAACTTGGTAGGTTCTCATTTCACACAAAGATTGCCCATAACCCAAGGGTGTGTCATGACCTTGACCCAAGGTCATTTGGGAAAGTTCAAGGTCACTGGAAGAAAATTTTTTATATTCCATGTCCGGTCCATATCTTTTTTATGGATAAACTTGGTAGGTTCTCATTTCAACACAAAGATTGCCCATGACCCAAGGGTGTGTCATGACCTTGACCCAAGGTCATTTTGGGAAGTTCAAGGTCACTGGAAGAAAAACTTCATAATTTGTATCCGGTCCATATCTTTCTTATGGACAAACTTGGTAGGTTCTCATTTCACAAAGATTGCCCATGACCCAAGGGTGTGTCATGACCTTGACCCAAGGTCTCTTGGGGAAGTTCAAGGTCACTGGTAGAAAAATTTCATAATTCGTGTTCGGTCCATATCTTTCTTATGCATAAACTTGGTAGGTTCTCATTTCACACAAAGATTGCCCATGACCCAAGGGTGTATCATGACATTGACCCGAGGTCATTTTGGGAAGTTCAAGGTCACTGGTAGAAAAATTTCATAATTCGTGTCCGGTCCATATCTTTCTTATGGATAAACTTGGTAGGTTTTTATTTCACACAAAGATTGCCCATGACCCAAGGGTGTGTCGTGACCTTGACCCAAGGTCATTTGGGGAAGTTCAAGGTCACTGGAAGAAAAATTTCATAATTCGTGTCCAGTCCATATCTTTCTTATGGATAAACTTGGTAGGTTCTCATTTCACTGAAAGATTGCCCATGACCCAAGGGTGTGTCTTGACCTTGACCCAAGGTTATTTGGGGAAGTTCAAGGTCACTGGAATAAAAATTTCATAATTTGTTTTTGATACCTATCTTTATTATGGAAAAACTTACTTCTGAAAAACCCAGCGGGGGGTATTTTGTCCCGTTTGGACAGTTCTAGTTTAGTAATATCTTCTTCGATAATACAAGTGCCAAGACGGCGCTAAGGTAAAATAGGTGAGAAAATCGAAAAAGATTAAAAACTTTGGAAGAAAATGGACCCCCACAAGAATTCAAAGAAAGTTTTAATACGACAGTTAAATCAACATGAAGTGTGCACTGTTTAGTGTTTATTGATGCTGGGTGTACAATGTATTGATAATAAAATTCAAATATAGTTTTCATCTTTTTTGTTGAAATTTTTTTTGGACTGATAGAAATCTGTCTGTACTGACAAATTTGGAATGGCAATCAATCATAACCTTTTTGGGTTTTAATGAACGTATCGTCATTGAATTTTTCCCCGACTCCACTTTTCTTCTTTCAGAGCCCTGATCTCCAGGCCCAACAGCATGAAAAACTGGGACAGCTGTCAGAAAGTCTCCGTAGTCATAAAATCAAGCTGACAGTCAAATACTCCGACACACTGCATGACAGAGAAATCAGGTGTCCTATTAATGTATTGCTTGTCAAGTGAACTGGACTGGACAATCTGATTAAAATCAGATTCTATGATCCGCTCACATAGATCGCTACACAAGGATCTGAAGAAAGCCCATTTAGGGTCATCTCCTGGTGACCTTTCTTTTAAAAATATTCATTAAAATTTTGACCAATCAGAGAGATCGTACTTTAGTGACTTTTGGGAAAAGGAATGTTGACGTGAAAGTAGGTGTGGAGAGGATCTTGTCATTTCGTACAAAACAAAGAGCTAAAATCCAAAACAAAAGCAAGTGATTATTACATTTCTAAACGTAAAAGACTGTGGTTGTTCTCTTAACAGGCTACAGAAACTAGATCACGATTTTCCGTTCATGTATCATTTGGGCTTTCACTTCTGTTACTGAATTCCAAGATACTTCTAAATTCTCGGAAGCAAACATTTGATTGGATAAATGAAAGGTCATCAGGAGATGACCCTGAATAGGGTTTCTTCAGGTCCTTGTGTAGCGATCTTTATGTGAGCAGATCAAAGGATCTGATGTTATTCAGATTGCTGGACCGGAATACATATAAATTAGTCAAAGTTTGTTGTTTGTGGAAGAAAAATAAAAGTACTTATGCATATTGAAAGCAAAATTTATTATTATCAGGCAAAAATTTTGTTAGTAAGAATTGATAATTGCATATGGCAGAATGTAATTCTTTACAGATGTGAAACTGATTAAGCAGGGTCCGACACTCGTCAAAATTTGGTCTCGCCATTCGGGCAACCTTGGTATGATCACAGGTTGCCCGAATGAATTTCAGGTCGTCCAAATAAAATATCAAATGAAACAAAACTTAATGTGCAATTGTTTAAAATTTGTTAAGATAATTAACAGAAGCTGTAATTTTACAGTATGAAAAAATGTAATTCAGACATTTTTTGGAATGTCGATCAATATGTCTTCTAGTATTTTATCAAACAAAAATATAAGCTGAATCTGACATGCAGATCGAGTGCTAAAGTTTGTAGTTTAAAACATTCATTTTAACTTACCATGAAGGCCTATATAAATTTATGGGGTCAAATAATCCTGGACTGAATTAACTAGGTGTTATATTACAGTGGACACCCAACATGGCTGTCTAGCAGTGCTCAGAAAATGATCATCAGATGAGCAGAAAGTTGTAGGGGAAATGCAAGATGTTACAATGATGATTATTACTCTTTATATTTAAGGTGATTGTTGACTAAGTTGACATATTTTATATCTCAAATAAAACTTTATTAAAGACTTTTGGTAAAAATTGCATCAGCTGATTGATTGAACGCAGATTTTGCAGGAAGAAAAATTTAAGCGGCTGCAATTAGAACATGTTGAATGGGTTGGTTTTGTTACAGAAAAATATGTATTCAAGGCCTTACGAAGTTTATTTTAAAATATTAAACATCATTATTAAACATTCCCAACTTGTCCCAGGTCGTCATTTGGGCGAGCCAGACTGAAAATCAAGTCGTCCGAAATCATTTCTAGATGGAAATGACGAGGTGACGAGCGCGAATGTCGAACCCTGTTAAGGTACGGCCTGTCAGAAATTAAATTTTAAAAGGTTTTTCAACTCATTCTAAATTGTTGCATAGCACGTATGCAATTAAAATTTACAGTCAAAGCTACATGTAAATTAATTTTTTGGACATTTTTTTTCTGTTCTTTAGGTTTGATACTGGATGGGTGGTCAAAATTGGAAGAGGTTTAGACATTTATAAAGCTGCCGGAAGCAAGTTTTCAATTGGATTTTGTGATTTTGACCTTCGACCCTGCCACAAGACAACAGTGGATATTTTTAACAGGAAGTATGTGAAAGATACAAGTGACAGTGCTGAGGGTTCAGTCTGACAAAGGCTATCAGATATGTATCTATGCATGACTGTGATATTTATTTATTTGTTCATGTTCTTGTTTAGTTTGATTATGATTTAGTTAAGGAACTCTGCATTTACCAATTGCTCATAAAACTGAGAGTTTTTAAGTTTTGAATCGGACAAAATGACTGATTTTGATATATAGACAAATAGGTAAATGCTGTCTCAGTTTACATGTTCAAAAAGAGAGTATATACAATATTGATTGAAATTGTAGACATTAACAGGCAGATTTATTATTCACATTCAATAATTCATAATTTTTTTTTTAATTTCACTTATAAGAAGAGAATTTCTTAGAGCTTCAGCCTTTCAGTATTTTATGTACTTTCTCTTTTGTGATAGTAAAACGGAATATAAAACAATGAAAATGACAATATTACATTGTAATTGATTTTATAGACTACTATAAAGTCATAATTATGAGGCAATATAGCTTTGACCATGGTAACAAAGTATTAATATAAAGGCAGTATTTTTCTGTCACACATTCTAAGATGGATAATTCCAACATATTTTTATTTAATACATAAATCAGCACACTCAAAGTTTAGCACAATCTTCTAATTTAATTGTTTAGAGTTGTTATAATATAGCACACCTTAATCTTGAAAAGCTGCAAGTATTAGTTCCAATCATATATTAGTGTACATGATTTACAAGAATTGTAACAGGATGAAAGACAATGAAATATAAACCCATCTTAAACAAGTGTGTTTTCAGTTTGCTTGAAAATTATGTATATTTTATAAAGATAAATAGGCTAAAACAATGTTCAGTATACTGCTGGATTCGTATGCATAAAAATTCTAAGAATTTTCATAAGTATATGCTTAAATTTTTAAAGCATATTATTAGCTAAGTAACATGCTTAATTTCCGTTGCATAAAAATTCTAAGCAATATGCTTAGCAATTCTTAGCAAAGAATGTCGCAATCTGCTAAGTAAACCGTTGCCATGTCAATAAAATCACTTCCGCTTTCACTTTCATGTAAACAATAAAAATAAAAATGCATGAAAATGAATAAAATGTACTTCATTTCTAGCTGAAAATAATTTTTATTATGGGTATTGGTCCAAATCTAGTAAAAAAAATAAAAAGTATCATTCTGTGAATTATTCTGTGAATTCCCACGTGATTTGTAATCATCGATGCGATTATCGTCTGCTACACATCGCATTATCGATCTACATGAAAGGATGGCTGAGTGTTCAGAATCTTCTACGGTGAAAAAAAGAAAGCCAAATTGGACAACAGATGAATGCCTGTATTTGAGTCGTCTTGTTGATGAGAACAAGGACGTCCTACGAGCAAAATTCGGGTCAGGAGTTACCACTATCCGAAAAAGGGCGGCGTGGAAAAAAATTACAGATATGATTAACTCTACTTCTTCCACAAAGCGCTCTGTGGAGGAAGTAGAAAAGAAATGGCACAACGTTCAGATGAAAGGTAAAGCAGAACTCTCGGACGCACGTCGTTGCATTAAAATGACAGGTATGCTAACGGTATGTTTTCCCTTTCTTTAAGATATGTGAGAGAGAGAGAGAGAGAGAGAGGTTTAAAGAGGGAGAATCTTTACATTCACACTATGATGTACAATTACTTATTACTGATTTACTGTATAGATGAGACATACCTAGATGCAAGTCTGTCAATGTTTACAGATTAAAAAATGGGTTATCTCCCCTTTCATAACAAAAGAAGGGAGACTTGTAAACATGACGAGTGAAGAATTTAGATTGCATCGAAAATTTTGATAGCTGAAAAAACTTACTTTCCTTTCTGTATCTGTCCATACATAGAGAAGTATATAAATAATAATTCCATACATCAAATTTGCCTAAAATTCATTCATCACATCACTCACGATCACGGCTCAGCGTCGTGTACTTGACGTCATTTCTAGACTATAGTATTATTATCCAGATACAGGGGCGGATCAATTATGAGTTATAAAGAGACTTAAAAGAAAATTGCCAAATGTTTCGAAAAAGAACATGAATTTTGAATAAAAGGGGGAAAACATTGATATATGAATTGTAATTATATGTCACATAGCATTGGCGTTGGAAGCAAACATAAAATTTCTTGTGTGTGTGGAGTGGGGGGGAAAAATTCTTTCAGTACCATATTTATGTCTGTCTTTTTTGAACAGTGCAAAAAGGGGGGGGGGAGGGGGGGGGGGTGTAAGCCCCGGCTCCGACGCTTATGCATAGGTATCGGAAACAATATTTTCCTAAGGTCAGCGGAGTATACACATGATTACATGTATTTTTAGGCGGTGGACCAGCAGGGAAACCCCTCACCCCATTAGCAGAGGCTGTGGAAAATGTTATTGGTGCCGATAACTTCAGCATTTCTGGAATCCCTGGCTCAATAGACACCACCTTCTTTATGCTTCCAGAAAGTGACCAAAATGGGGGTTCATCGAATTCAATGTATGTGCAATAGTTTTTATATACACACAACGGTGGAAGTGGCGATATCTATGGCAAGCCAAATTCACAAAAATGAGCTAAACATAGTTTCACAATTGATAAACTAGGGATTAAACTATAGTTTACAAAAGGTTAATTTAGTGTGTAAAATATATCAAAAGTCATTAAATGTAAAAATTTATATGTCTGTAATGAAAAATACATTTTGTTGTATCCACGTTATGAAAAATTTAAATCACAGAAATGTTATCAGAGATTAACAAATTTATACAAAAGTCATTTTGTTTCATGTTGTGAAAAATTTAAATGAAGAAATGCAAAAGATTAAACAAATTTATTCTTGTGATTTTTAGGTCGAAAGTGAGTGAAACCGGCGGAGTGACACAGGATCTGCAAATATTAAGCACAAAAGAAAGCGGAGACGGGCATCAGCAGATCAGTCTGGTTACTCTTCCAGCGCAAAACGTCTCCAATGCGTGTGGATGCAGCCTTGATATGGTCGACCTACACAAGAAAAAAATGGAGCTAGAAATAGAAAATCTAACTCTCAGAAATAAACTTATCACAATACAATTAGCTAAAATGCAGGCTGATGATACGAATCAGTAGCTTGGACATAAACTGTCTTCATATTTGAGTTTATCAAGTTTTCGCATTTTGATGAAGAATTACTATTATTAGCCTATTTCAAATGAACTATTTAATAACTATTTAATAATTATAAATTTGTAAAGTGTTGAAAATATATTTAATATATAAAGTACTATGTAATATATATAATCTATTTAATAAAAAATAATATTGAAACGCAAAAAATACATTTACCTAATCATTCATCAGTTAAGTGAAATGAGTAGCAACAATGTGAGTTCTGTAAGCTCGGCCATCAGCATTTCGGAAGTCTCCAACAGTGTGGTCAGCATTGCCATTGTCGTCAGGTCCATCCTCGTTGTCGCTGTCGTCTTCAAGAGGGATGTTAAACATCTTGGCAATGTTGTGAAGAATTCCACAAGCTGTAATAATTCTGCTAGCTCGCTCAGGACTCTGTCGAATTTCAGAATGGAGGATATGGAACCTTCTTTTCAGTTGCCCAATAGTTCTTTCCACAATCGTTCTAGTGCACTTGTGAGACCTTTATCAATTTGAAGAAAACATTGCAGACATAAAATAGGGAATGTCTTGGGTCTTAGCCTTGCACCGAATCTACGAATATATTTTTTTTTGGGGGGGGGGGGTCATACCATTTATTTCTTTAACTTGCTTTGTAGTACATGTACATGTATCTATAATATATGTACAAAATGCTACCTAATGCAGCACAAACATTTGTTTCTGTAATAAATTTTTATCCCTAGTCGAATCACACCAAGAAATAGAAATTGAAAATCCCGTGGTTGAGGGGAAAATTTATTAAAAAAAAAGAAATGGTGGGGTGAAATTTCAATGTTTAAATATTGCAGCGAATAAATAAAATTTGTTTACGTCCCCCCCCCCCCCCCAATAAACGATATTTTACCTCCAATGTAATTTTAAAAACATATATATTGTTAGCCAATCAAAATCTCTACTCGGGATAGTCGAATTTCCACGTATAAGGTGTGGAACCCTTTTTAACTGTCCAATCGTTTTGCCTACAACTGTGCGAGTGCACTTGTGTGACCTTAAAAGGGAAGGGGGATTAAAAGGTTTTAAATTCAAAATTTATAAAGTTAAAGTGATTTTCAAGAAAAATTGTCATAATGCATACTTCCTTATTAGAATTAAGGTTTCTTATTGTTTTTTGCGTATACAATTACGTGTAAAATTTTGCGCGATTTCTAAATTCGAGGTCGTTACTTCCTATGTCCTCTCTATCTCTCTGTTACTTAATAATTTTCAAGGCATTTCTATTTTAGTCAATTTAATTCATAGAAATCGTAGATGATCCACAGGAGTGCCGATTGAATTGTCTTATAAGATTACGTGAAGTATGGGATAAGCCCCATATGAGAATCAAAATAAATTAATATAACGAATACATTTATATATCTCACTGCACTTCCACTAAATACAGTCATTCAATGACGATCGAGACAAAAAAGCCATGCTTCAATTGGCCATATAAAATATTCCCTGGGAGATATATTGTACATTGGAAAGAATTAATGTCAAGCTAAAATTTCGGGGGAAAAATTTTCGCAAGAAAACAACGACTCGGAATGAGGAAATGTTGTTTGAAATTATTGTTAAACATGTAGTGTTTCATTCCCAAACTAATGAATATATGCATGTAGGCCTATTTATATATATTTTAGCGTTCCTTTTTTTGTTACATGTGCTATGCATCAACTATATTTTTTTTCATTCAATTTATTTTGAAAATTGGAGATGTAATGGTTCTCTTTATCCGACTTGAAACTATATAGGGGATGATTTTCATCGATAGTAATATTGTAATGATTAAGTAAGGTTAAAATGGAATAACCTGCCTTCCCTTGAAATAGACTAGACCAAAGGGTATATATTAGAACGCACGAAGAGTTTCAGGGTCGGTTGAATGCTGAGCTGCATGCAGCGAAAAAGCAGTCATGGAAATTGAAGAGAAAAAGAGGAGAAATAGGATACAGCAAGGTACACGGTGCTTAGTTGAAAAAGTTACCAAGCTTTAATAATTCAGCCTAGCTTGTATATAATTTTTTGATTAAGAAATAATAGAAAAACCCGGCCAGATAGGTTAAAGGAAAATTATTATACTGTAAAATCAAAATTCCAATTATGACTTTTTGACGTAATGACGTTTGTGTCACAGGTGCCGGGCGTTAACGAAACTACGCAACAATCAAGTGACGTCATATTTTAAGCCGTTACTTTAATGTTCAAGTATATTGTGAAAGTGATAATTTAAAAAAAAATTACAAAATAAATCAATTATAAAAATGAAAGTAATAAAAATCCATCTACTTAATAAATTTCAGACCTATTATACTGGATTTGCGGTCCACCAGCTGGGTTTAGATATGGGGTCAATAGCCAATCTTTCAATGGATATCCACTGTCGCCTAGAAGATGGCATTTCACGGGCAAGAGGCGTCTGTTGAAGATTTGAAACAACCCACTCTCTCGTAGTATCCTCGCATCATGTGTTGCACCTGGCCATGTGGATACAAGATCTAAAATTCTGTGATGAGCATCTGAAACAATCTGAACATTGATACTGTGGAAATTTTTCCGGTTGACAAACTCTACCTCATGCTCACTAGGTGCAATAATTCTAACATGGGTACCATCAATAGCCCCTATCACCCCTGGAAATTTAGCTACTCCAAAAAAATCTGCTTGGTGCTTCCTGATGGTCTCTGCTTGCATTGGAAAAGATATGAATCGTTTCACAATGTGTGGCTGTACAAGAGCAGTTGTAACTCTTTGAATTATTCTGGAAACGGTAGATTGATGCAGTCCAAAATTGTCACCGCTGCATAACTGCATTTTCCCAGTTGCAAAATATCTTAAAGTTACCATAACTTGTACATGTGCTGGCACGCTATAATTTCTACCAGTCGAAGGTGTAATGTCATCTCTGATTAAATCTGTAATGAATTCTATTCCTTGATGAGTAAATCTAAATCTTGCCTGTAGCTCAGCAGCTGTGAATGTACATAATGGATCCAGTCTAGGTTTAAATGTCCTCTTCTTTTGCGCAACTTGAACGCCAGCCATATTGAATCAATGTCTTGAGCAATATGCTTAAGAAGTTAAGACAGGTGGAGACCATGCTTAACTTTAAGCATATGCTGAGCATATACTTAAGAGTAAAGAAGTTTTATGCAACATGCTAAGCAATGTGCTTAGTCAAATTTCAATCTGCTAAGCAGAAAAACAGTATTTAAGTATATGCTTAAGGAATTAAGAATTTTTATGCATACGAATCCTGGTAACTAAAGCATCTATTGTCTAATGAGTATTTTAAATAGCTATGGAACTGACTCTGTACAAAGGCATTAATTGTTATCAGTTAGATATTGATCAATATCAATTCTTTATTAATAACAGAACAATTTGATTTAGAGAGGTAAAGCACACTGTATCCCTTCTGATGATGGGAATATATTGCAGATATAAACAGATAAAATTGTCAGTATTTTTTTTTTTAATCTTACTGATGTAAGACTGATATTATTAGACTTATTTTGCTTGCTGATTCCAGTCTTATTTTTAAAAAAATATTATTGTAAGTTTTAAGATAAATAATTCGAAGATGTGTTATCTCAAACTATTAATCATAATTTAATATTTTACAGGATGTATTATTACTCCTAAAAGTGATAGGATTTGTATTAATAAGTAACCTTTTCTATGATCTTTAAATTCAGTTGATATTCGTCGAGTGATTTTACATACATGTATTTACCATAATTGTAAAAGGCCATATAAAATTGAAATCTTGGTTCTCAGGCCCGCGCGCATCCGTTTTGAGGTAGCCGCATTGCCGATTTTATTGTATTTTTGATAAAATAAAAAGTTGGTGTTGCGGAGACCAATCCGGGAAAAAAAATTCCGACCTCATTTGTTTCGTAGTTTAGTATTCAAATATCACTTCCGGTAGCCATTTACAATGAGGTTTTGGCTACTTCGTTTGAAAATACATTCGAGGACATTACCTACGATGTTTACACGCTGTTAATCAATGGATAAAGCAGAAATTTTGACCAGAAATGGAAAGTATATATGTGATTAAAAAAATTATCATTATGTTAAAGAAAATTCGGAAATTAAAATAAAAAAAAAATACTTCCCTCATCTACTTTATTGCCAATAAAATGAAAAATAAAATGCCGCCCTCCCGCATCTGTTTTGGAGAAAATTGGCCTGAGAACCAGGGAATTAAATTTAGATAGCCTAAGGCCATATAAAATTGAAATCTTGGTTCTCAGGCCCGCGCTCATCCGTTTTGGGGTAGCCGCATTGCCGATTTTATTGTATTTTTGATAAAATAAAAAGTTGGTGTTGCGGAGACCAATCCGGGAAAAAAAATTCCGACCTCATTTGTTTCGTAGTTTAGTATTCAAATATCACTTTCGGTAGCCATTTACAATGAAATTTTGGCTACTTCGTTTGAAAATACATTCGAGGACATTACCTACGATGTTTACACGCTGTTAATCAATGGATAAAGCAGAAATTTTGACCAGAAATGGAAAGTATATCTGTGATTAAAAAAATTATCTTTATGTTAAAGAAAATTCGGAAATTAAAATTAAAAAAAATACCTCCCTCATCTACTTTATTGCCAATAAAATGAAAAATAAAATGCCGCCCTCCCGCATCTGTTTTGGAGAAAATTGGCCTGAGAACCAAGGAATTAAATTTAGATAGCCTAAGATTTGCATTTATTTCACAATCATGACAATCATTTTATATTGAAGAAGTAAAGTTCATTTGCTTAAAAATTTTATTATTAAAAAATAAATTTAAGATACCCAAGTTCTACTGTATAACCTGGGTTAGGGCAGTTGAACCTGTATAAATTGTAAAATGTTTAAAAAGATGTAAACTGTTTGGAACCAAAATATAAATGCTGGTGAATTCATTTGATAATTTAATGAATGAAGCTTATTTTAACCTATGTTTTACGATATAATATAACTTGGGACAGTTTACACTTTATAAACTGCAAAGGGGTTTATAAAAAAAGCGTAAACTGCCCCAAGTTTTGTTATATCATATAACATAGGTTATAATAGCTTCATTGCTTATAATTTAATTTCAGTGTAGACAATAAGACAATTTTCACTCCAAAAAATGGCTTCAAATTGAGCATATTTTAAAATTTAACATTAAGCAGAGTAATATGTTTTTGATGTAGCTCATTGTGACATGGGCAACTTACGTTATACATGTACAATATAAAATAAATCTTTTATCCAATAAAATGACATGTTACAACTAAAATTTAATTATTTATAAAAGATAGCCCTTGAAAGTTTTGCATCTTCTTTGATGACAAGAATGTCAAGAAAGGGCAGTAAAGTATTGCTGCTTTCCATTAAAAATTTAATATTTGAATCCAAGTTGTTTAATAACTAGTGAAAATTTATAATCTCTCAATATTGTCATTCTATAAAATGAAACAGTCATTTAAAAATCTTTTCCACTATGATATGTTTTTAGCATCCTCTTCTCCCTACAGAGTATCTAGTCGGTGATGGCGTTTTTTCTGAGATATCCTAAATTTAAAGTGGCATATGTGGGAGGCACTTTTGTTCCCATTGCTATTCCTTTGGTTTATATAAAATGATCGGTTCCAAAGGCAAATGTATTGTTTTGAAGTGGGCATGGTGGGGAATGATTGTCTCCCACATTCGCTCTAGGCCTTTGCTACCTGGTCAAGTGGTGATGATTTTTAAACTCTCTGTCATTAGCTGGTAGAACTATTCCCCGTCTAGCATCTCTTTTCCTTGTAGGTGGCTTCAGATTGAGATGGATTGTAGATTGTTGATCTGCTTATTGTTCTCAACTGAGCGGGATGTTAAAGAGAAAGAGGAATTTGGTGTATGCTACAAGTTAACTAATCTTGATGATGACTTTCATAAAACTAGTTAGCTTGTGTCAAGTTGTGTCAAATCATTTAATGTTATTCATGCAATTAAATAAGATTATGTCAATTATAAAAGTCATAAAATTGTTGCCCCCAAGTGGAATAAACAATGAAGTGGGGAGATATCCATCCATTTCTCAGTTATTCTCTTCTTCTTTGAGGAAAGGTTTCAACCATAATGGATTAATCCATTGTGAATGCCTTGACAAATTTGCCGATGGATATTGTTCTGTTAACATCCTCCTCTTCTTCTTTGTTTTTGTGCAATATAATTTGACAACAAGAGTTAACACATGTTAATTTCCTTTCTGGGGCTCATAGGTTCTTGAATAAATTTCTAGTAGAAATCTAATTTAAACAATATAAACAACATGCCCCCACTAAAATACAAAATGACCTCAAATGTTATTTAATTGTTAAATAACATTTAAGTTTACAAATAGTGATTCAGTTGCTGTTCTCAGCAGTGTGGCACTCTTAGTTCTTGTACAGGTATCCTCATTGATGTACAGTTGTGGTTTTCATCTGGATTCTTATAAGACATGTCTGAAAATTGATCTTCATTTGAATATGCTATATGATTTCAGTCTTCAAGTCACTTGTCTCCAATTATCCAAAAATTAAAAAAGTCCAAATATCAAAACATTGCATGCTTTTATTTCAAACAGGCAGAAGTATATATATTCTTTTCAGAAAAAACCCTAGTTTAGCCTTTGATGTGGATGCTGAATGTGAAATGAGCTTTAAAAAGGTTTAAAATGTCCCCTTTTGAAATTTTTTCAACCATCTAGCAACAGTTGAAGGAAAAATAGAATTGTATGGTTTTACTAAAGTAAGTAAAAACCAAGATCTATTTATTTTTACATTAACTTTAAGCCATTCCTACATGCGGGCAATGTAATTCCTAATCCAAGCAACTACACATAAAGATTAATCTTCCCCAAAAGAGTCATTTTCCTATTATATGAACTGAGTCTTCAAGTTTTGTTAAGTATTGGCAATTCTAAAGTTGTGCAGGTTCTTGTTCTGGGGCTAAAAAACTTAAATGAGCTCACATTTGATCTCAGTTTCACTTTCACCAAAGGAATATATAGCAGAAAAGTGAGACAGAGATCAAACGTGAGCTTGTCTTAATTCTGTGACCCTGGAGCCTGGAGCTTCCTGTATTCTCTGTCATGGAAAAATACTGATTTAATTTCATATGAAGCCAAGAGTTGGTACACCCTGGTGGTGTACGATAGATAATCCAGGATATTGCATGGCACTCAGGTATTTTCCTGCAATAATTTTTGCAGGATTGCTAAGCTAGCAGCTTACTATTGAGAAAAAGAAATGTTTTAGAGCTTGGGTTTTGAGGACCCTGATTTAACCCACTACCAATCTTCATTTTTGGACAGAACTGTTTCAGATTGTGAGGCTGCTGCCAGATTTACAAAATCTACAATATCATGATATTGACTTGATATAGGTGCAGATAGGGATTTAAGATAAATTTGAGGGTCCTGCCAAGAGAACATATCTGGTTGGTGCAGTGCCGATTGTTGGCTGGCTGGATCCAACGTTGGCACAACATTTCTGACACGAATTTATCCTCCAATTGTCCCTGCGAGGACGATTGGTCTGTCAAGGGTGCCCCGAGTGTGGGTTCAGACAGAACTTCTGCTGGAGCTGTTGTTGCGTTATCATGGTTATTGGATTGGGTAGCTGCCGGGCTTTGAGGAAAAGTTTGTCTTATTGAGTGCATTAGAAGACGTTTCTGTCCCACAGGAATAGTGGAGGGCAGGTCATTTTCAGCGAGCAGCGAGAGTGCCTCCATGCAGTCGTATCCTAGTTCAATTAGAATATTTCACTATATGGGGTGATTTTATTTTTTTTGGTCTGTCCACTTTGCTACCGCATCTTCACCTACCATCAGTTCAATTTCATTGTCTGACATCATAATGTAAGGATTCAATAAACAAATGAACAATCACATAAGAATAAAAGGCAGTCTTATAAATTACTGTGATTGCTGGTCACTGGTCGCACACATGGCACACTGGGACTGGAGCAAAATCCTGAGGTGCACAAAAAATGCAGCCACTGCAGAACAATCCATTGTAACAAGAAATAGTGCATCAAT